ACTTTATGCAAAAGGATGCAGTACTACGTCTGGTAGAAAATATTCTTTCGTATGTCGCTCACAATAATGATTTAGTACTGATTTATTATTTTTGCTTGTGGCAGCATTGCCATGACAACAATCATACAGTGTCAATCGGCTTTTTTATAGCTCTAGTTTCTTTAGTTTCTTTTCTATCTTTGACAGTTGTGTCATGCTCTGAATGAACACACCTGACTCTAATATTTAGATGCTTCTACACACTTGATTAGCAGGCTCTCAGCAGGGTGGTGGAGCTCCAGGAGTGAACACAGCACCTGTGATCTAATCATCAGCAATAGAAACGATTTCACATGCTGGGCTTGAGTCAGTGCAATGCTAAGTCACAGTCCTGATTCATTTGGACACGTGGCCACATTGGCTGCCCCAGTTAGACCTTTTGTTTTTTAGTTTAAACTTCATAAGGTTGAAACTAAATGGCCTTGAGCTGTAGATGTAGTTTATATTGCTTTCGTAGATTTTTTGATACCTTCAAGTCCTCCTCAGAAGTTAATCTGTACGTGATTATGATGTAGTGGGTGAATGAGGTGGATTTGGTCAGGGGGAAAATGGACAGTGTGAGTACTTATTTAGCTTTTATAGAATGGTACAGGAATGAGTCCTAAAACCCGCAAATGAGTTAGCCTTTTACCACTTCCGGTTCCACTGTCCTGGAGTCAGTGAGTTTTTTTTAAATGGATTTTTGGTTAAATGCCTGAATGTTTTATTCTACAGTATGAAGTGCATCGGTGATACATCACTCATTATTTTGTTGAGCTTTTATGTGTCTTGAAAAAGAAGGTTGTTAACGAGTGGCTAAATGGGATTACAGAGGTTGTCGGAGACATCACACCAAACAGGAAAACTCATAGGCTACAGCCTTGTTGTGTTTATACTCATGCTCTTGTAAACTATTCCAACTCAAACGTTCTAACATATAGATTTTAAATTTATACTATATTCCAATTGTAATGTTTTTTAAATAAAGATTGAAAGGGTTGTCAGGAGCTTAGCGGTTGTGACGGTGAAGTCATGCAACCATCGTGTAGTTGTTTATAGCCTAAATTTAGCTGAAAAGGGAACAGGACATTGCATGAACTTCATGCTGTGGGAGGCCCCCTCGCATGCAATTGGTATCTGAAGTCTGTGTAAAACCACGCCTATTAATAGGCCTGCTGTGGTCAGGTGACGTTGCATTTCGTGTGTCGTGTGACTATAAAATGGTACCTGTAAAGCATGTCATCAGCTTTTCTTTGTCTGAAGTGAAGACGCAATTTACAGGTATACCCCAGTATAACAAAGCCCTGTTCTCAAGGAACAGGGTTGCATGTGTAACCCAGATGTTCCCTTTCAAAGGAAACTCAACATTGCATGAGTTTCACGCTGTGAGAATGAATATACCCACTCTGTCACACTGAGGTTATGGCATGTTTAAAAAGGTCTGAGCCTAAGGGTCACTGCAAGATCCTTGACCAAACTGTAATACCGAATGAGTGTGTGCAGCATAGACCACCCTACTGCAGCACGCACATCCTGTAAGGGTAACCCTTAAATAAAGCCGTTGAGGAGGCAACCCCCCAAGAGTAAGCCCTTAGAAAATGCAATAGTGAGTGGTTTCACTATCCAAATAGAGATGCGTTTCTTTGACAGAGACCAGAATCTATGAGCTGGTGCCCCTCAGGGCCCAGAACCACAGTTTCCATGGTTTCAGCCGAGGGTGACAAATCAACCCTCAGGCTTGAGACAATAGTTCCCTGCAAACAGGAATCTCCCAGGGAGTGACTTCCAGCAGAGATTATCTCCAGGAACCATATTCAAGTTGGCCAATAATGTGCTACTAGTAGCAGATGTAGACGGTCTTGCTGAACTCTCTCTAGAGCTAGTGGGAGCAGAGTGATTGGGGGAAAGGCGAACAGATGTGACCTCGGCCATGTGTGTACCATGGCTTCCCTCCCTAACCTTTATCTTTGGTGTGTGATGAGTGAGGATGAACAACAGCAGGCAGTGTGTTGTCTCCTCAGAGGTAAACACATCCACTTCTGCTCAGCTGAACCTCTGCCATATTGACTTCACCACTTATGGATATAGCCCCAATCCAGCACTTGCATCAACAGGATGGCTGCTCCCACATTGTGGTTGCTCTGAATGTACATTGCACTCACTGACAAAACTTCCCTTCATCAAGAGAAGAATTAGTTGAACAGGGAGTGCTCATGTAACCCTCCCTGGTGGTTGATATATGAAATCACTGCTGTATTATCTGTCACATTGTGACCTATCAACTGATAAGAAGAATTTAAGCATTAGGAATATGGCCCACATTTATAAGCAATTTATGTACCACACTAGATGAGTACCACATGCCAGTCAGTGAGGGAGGTGACTGACATAACCATCTTGCAATAAAGAGATGCACCTAGAGCTGGGCTGGGCAATCTTATACAGAAAGTGCTGGTGTGGGTGCGGGATTTCATTCCAACCACACCCCTTGTCTGGTAATAAAGGCCACATGGAATTCCACAGAGGTCAGTTCGGGGTCAACTGCTCTATTGTATCTACAATACATCTCTGGGATAGGTGATTGAGTCTCATGGCTTCTCATACCACTGCTATGCTGAAAACACCAAGAGCCATTTGTCCTTCCATCCTGACGATCCATGATCTTTTAGGCAGTATTTTAGGCAGAAGGGTACAGCTCAGCTGGTAGAGCGCTTGCTTAGCATGCACGAGGTAGCAGGATTGATGCTCACATTCTCCAAGTTCTGCTCTCAGTGTCACAAACCATCCCCAAAAGCATTTTAGGGACAGCTGCAAACATTCATGCATTTTTCAACTAAGCCAATCATCTTACACCCTGTCCAGAAATGTGGAGATTCTCTATTACATGAAGGGGATTAGCTCAGATGGTAGAGCGCTCTCTCAACATGTCAGAGGTAGTGGGGTCGATGCATGCATCTTCCAAATACTGCTCTCTTCTCAGTGTAAAAAATTATTCATGAGTACCTTTATAGGAACGGTTGCACGCATTCATGCATTTCAACTAAGCCAATCATCTTACACCCTGTCCGATAATGTGGAGATTCTCCATTGCATGAAGAGGGATTAGCTCAGAAGGTAGAGATGGTAGTGGGATCCATGCCCGCATCCTCCAAATACTGCTCTGTTTTTAATGTCAAAAACTATTCCTGAGTACCTTTTGAGGAACAGCTGCACACATTCATGCATTTCAACTAAGCCAATCATCTTACACCTTGCCCGGTAATGTGGAGATTGTTGTGATGCATGAGGGGGTATTAGCTCAGATGGTAGAGTGCTTGCTTTGCATGCAAGAGGCAGTGGGATCGATACCTGCATCCTTCAAACTTCTTCAAATCCTACTGCTATGTTCTCAATGTCAACAACTATCCCTAAAAAAATTTGAGCAACAGCTGCACACATTCAACCTATTAAACTCAGCCAATCATCTTACACCCTGTTCATTAATGTAGAGAGTCTCCATTGCACATAGGGGGATTAGCTCAGATGGAGTCTCTGCTATGTTAAAGGGGATTAGCTCAGATGGTGGAGCACTCGCTTAGCATGCGAGATGCAGTGGGGTCCATGCCTGCATCCTCCAAATACTGCTCTGTTCTAATTGTCAAAAACTGTCCAGGGATCCATTTCACTAACAGCTGCAACCATTCATGCATTGTTCTTGCCGACAGAGGCATGTCTTTTATTCATTTGATTATCTTGTCTTTATCCAAAAAGTCATCAAAAAGTTCATTGGCAACATCAAGCATGAATGTTTTGGCATACTCCCCATCTGTGAATGGCTTTCCGTTTCTCACAATTGCTAAAGCACCAGCAAAGCTAGCTGAATTCCAGTCACCTTCTTGGGTCCAAACACGGAGTTGCTGCTGACTAGGTTGCACTCTGCACAGTAGCTCTTGACATGCTTTCTTCCTGCTGTCCCCCGCAGAATATTTCGTTGCAAATGTAGTATGGCGTGTGTTGAAGTGCCGCTTTATATTTAACCGTTTCATTGATGCAATTTTATCATTGCATATCAGACACACTGCAGAACCTGCTCTCTCCACAAAGGCGAATTAATCTGTCCATTCCTGCTGAAAAGTACGATACTCGATATTTTTTCTTTTAGCCATCTTCTTCGATAAAATGGTTTCTGCAATTAGCTAGCTGACTACTTGATTAAAAGGAGGGAAGTTTACTTCCTGACCTCACAATGACCCGTGTACGTTATGTATTATCCAATAAAAATTTGGTGTTGTCCTGGAGGACAGCTGTGATTGGCTCCAGCCACCCGCAACCATGAACATGAGTGGTAGGAAATGAATGAATTGAAATACATGAGAATGTTTTATATTTTTAATGTTATTATTTTTTTAAATTAAAGATTTGTCTGCAAGCCAGATGCAGCCATCAAAATAACCATATCTGGCTCACGATCTGTAGGTTCCCAACCCCTGGTGTAGGGCGATTAGCTCAGATGCTAGAGTGTTTGCTTACCACGCGAGAGGTAGCCGTATCGATGCCTGCATCTTCCAAATACTGCTCTGTTCTCAGTGTCAAAAAGTATCCCTTATTACCTTTTTAGGAACAGCTGCACACATTCATCAATTTCATCCATCCATCCATCTTCTACCGCTTACTCCTTCATCCGGATTGTGGGGGAACCTGGAGCCAATACATTCATTCATTTCAACTAAGCCAATCATTTTACACTGTGTCAGGAAATGTGGAGATTCTCAATTATGTGATGGGGGATTAGCTCACATGGTAGAGTGTTTGCTTCACATGGCAGGATAATACCTGCATCCTCCAAATACTGCTCTGTTCTCAGTGTCAACAACTATCCCTAGAACCTTTTGAGGAACAGCTGTACACATTCATCCCAGGCACCATTTTAATAACAGCTGCACACATTCATGCATTTCATCTTACACTCGGTCCGGTAACGTGGAGAGTCTCTATAGCATGTAGGGGGATTAGCTCAGTTGGTAGAGCGCTCGCTTAGCTTGTGAGAGGTTGCGGGATCTATGCCTGCATCCTCCAAATTCTGCTCTGCTCTCAGTGTCAAAAAATATCCCCGGAACCATTTCACTAACAGCTGCACACATTCATGCTTTTCAACTAAGCCAATCATCTTACACCCTGTCTGGTAATGTGGAGATTCTCTCTTGCATGAAGAGGGATTAGCTCAGAGGGTACTGATGGTAGTGGGAACCTCTGGTCAGGGCCAGTCTAATTTTAACTTCTCAACTGCCCTAGTGATCACTTCAAGCAGCTCTTTAAAGAACTGAGAGCTACTCTCTGTTCTTGATGCACTGGCTTCCATCTCTCGCTCCTCAGAGTTAGAGAGGGTGGATTGACTCTCCATACCGAAGGGAAAAGTGCTTCGTGAGCTCCAAAATCCGGAAAGCTGGATTTGGAGAAAAGAGCAAGAACAGATCTCTGGTTCCCCCTCCAGATCCATACGGGACTGCCAGGATTTGAGCTGGCTGGCTGCCTTGACAGTGGCCAGCACTGGAGTTCCAAAACCCATCTCACTTCGGCTGAGAAGCGTGAGAGCCGGTAACAGAGCCGCTTCTTTGTGAAGCATTCACAATGAGTGCAGTCAACCCCCTTGAGGGCTGCTGCAGCATGCTCCACCTCCATACACTTCCATACACATCCCCCTCTGTAATAAAAGAAGTGCAGGGAGTAATACACTTTCTGAACTCTCTATGGCTCATTCTGTTTGCACAGGATAGTGACATAACCCAGCCATGCAGGGTTACTCCTGCATGCCGGTCCTAAGCCCGGATAAATGGGGAGAGTTGGGAAAGACCTGGCGACCTACCCTAGAAAACCATCGCCATGAAAATTCATGGAAAGTCTCTCACATGTTTCAAATATGGTACCGAATGGTAGGCCACCCAGGCCAGTAGGTATCCAACAAGCGACTGGGGAAGAGCAAGGGTCATTTACGAGTAATCTTGGATTCTATGACGCAAATGGGGGAAATTCTTCGGGAAGCCCAGATACTGATGCTGCCTGTGATGAAAGAAATCATCTGCGCTGCACGAAAATGTATAAGTTCTCAACATGGAACGTCCGCTGAATGAATCAAGGGAAATTTGACATCATCAAGCGAGAAATGGTCAGACTCAACATAGTTTTGCTTGGAATCAGTGAATTACACTGGAGAGATAACGGCCACTTCCAATCGGACGATTTTTCAGTGTATTATACCGGGCAGCAAGAACATTGAAGAAACGGCATGGCTCTCATAGCACATAAGAACATCGCCCATGCAGTCGAGAGCTACACCACCATCAACGACCGCATAATGGCCATCCGTATTCGTGGAAAACCGCTAAATGTCACGGTTTTTCAAGTCTATGCTCCAACAACAGATGCTACAAAAGATGAAAGAAAACGCTTCTATGCCAAAATCGAGGAGACACTGGAACAGATGCCCAAAAAGGATATAATTTACGTCATGGGCGATTTTAACGCAAAGGTCGGGTTTCAGGAAGAGGCGAACATCATAGGCCAGTGTGGATTGGGCAAAAGGAATGACTCTGGTGATCGTTTTGTTCAATTCTGCCATGAAAACCATCTCAGGGTCTCAAATACATGGTTCATGCAACCAAAACGCCGCCTGTACGCCTGGACAGCCCCCAATGGACAGCATTTATACTGCTTAGCAATGAAGACAAACAACCGGACGAATCGTGGCAGGAATTCCAATCCACCATTATCAAAACAGCGCAGGAACATATACCATACAAGAAACTAGAGAAAAGGAGCAAGTGGCTGTCGGCAGAAACCATCAAAATCGCCAATCAAAGAAGAGCAGCCAAAGCTGCTGGGGACCGAATCGAGGCAAGGAGGTTAAACGCAGAATTTCAAAGGGCAGCAAGGAAAGACAAAGAAGCACACTGGGATCAGCAATGCAAGCAGATGGAGGAGGACTTTTGAAAAGGTCACAGCAGAAATCTCTTTGCCCAGGTCAAGAAAATTCGAACTCCTTTTACTGCTCGCAAAGGAGCAATCGAAGACAAGAGCGGGAAGGTCCTGACTGGTCAGAAATACATCAGAAGCAGATGGCAAGAATACACGGAAGAGTTGTATGCTAGCACAAACGACCCCGAGCCTTCCCACGACGTCCCCGTGGAAATGGAGCCAGGTATCCTGGATGAGGAAGTCGTGTAGGCGCTGAAGCAGTTACCAAACAATAAGGCACCTGGTATTGACTGCATCTCAGCAGAAATGTTGAGGCCTGTTCCAACAGTCATTATAAGAGAGATTTGCCAGAAGATCTGGGAAACAAGCTGGTGGCCAAAGAATTGGAAGAGATAAGTATTCATCCCACTGCATAAGAGAGGTGACGCAAGGGACTGTTGCAACTACCGTACAATTGCCCTGATTCCTCATGCGAGCAAAGTCCTTTTGAAGATCATAGAGCAACGCCTGAACCCAATCATTAAAGCTGAACTACCTGACTCGCAAGCTGGGTTCAAACGAGGTCATGGTACCCGTGACCATATCACAAATCTGCGATGGATTATGGAGAAATTGTCATGAACATCAGAAAAACATCTACATCTGCTTCATCAACTAAAGTAAGGCTTTCAAGTGCATCGAACACGATAAGCTATGGAAGGCCCTGCAAGACCTGGGAGTGCCAGTGCACCTGATCCAGCTGATAAAATCTTTATATAAAGACCAAGAAGCAACTGTTCGAACACAATATCGAGACACTGAGTGGTTTAAGATCAAGAAAGGTGTACGACAAGGCTGTTTTCTGTCCCCTTCTCTTTTCAATCTCTACGCAGAAATGATCATGAGGAAATTAGATCTGGAAGAATCGGAAATCGGCGTGAAGATTGAAGGTAGAAATATTAATAATCTCCGCTATGCGGATGATACAACATTACTGGCGGAAACGGAAGATGGCCTCATATTAAGAAACACCTCATATTAAGAATCAAAAAGGAAAGTGAAAAGATGGGTCTCCACCTCAACATCAAAAAGACAAAGATCATGACAACAGCTGGAAACGGACCAGTCAAGATAACCATCAATAGTGAAGAGATTGAATGCATCAAAATTTTCTGTTTCCTCGGATCCATGATCGACCGAACTGGAGACTGTGGCCTTGAAATCAGGCGACGAATTGTGTTAGACCGTAGTGCGATGCTGAGCATGCACCAAATCTGGAGGAGCAAAGACATCAGCCTCACAAGCAAATGCAAAATGGTCCATGCTATTGCGTTCCCCATATTAATGTATGGGTGTGAAAGCTGGACCCTGAATAAAGAACATGAAGACGAGGCCGCCAAAGAATGCGGTAGCTCGACACAATCAAAACGGACACTGGCTTGGGCATAGAGCAGCTGAAGGGGAAAGTCCGGGACCGGAAAGCATGGCGAGAGATGGCCTATAGAATTGCCGAGAGTCGGACTCGACTGACCGGATAACAGCAAAAACAACATATAATACTGACTCATTTATGACATTGATTTAGTATATTTTTCGCACCATTTGTTTTTTATCATTGAAAGAAATAATGCAACTCGTTTTTTTTCTTTCTTTTTTTATACAATCACTCACCAACCAGATTATTAGAAAGCCCTTAATCTGTCCATTCTGTGATGCTTTTCTGCTCACCACGGTTGTAAAGAGCGGTTATTTGAGTTACTGTAGCCTTCTTGTCAGCTTGAGATAGTCTGGCCTTTCTCCTCTGACCTCATTAACAAGGTGTTTCTGCCTGCAGAACTGCCGCTCACTGTGTATTTTCTCCCTCACCATGCTATGAAATTCTAGTGTTATCCGTAAAAGTCCCATATCAGCTGTTTCTGAAATAGTTATTTTTTTTAACAAAAGAATGACATCCCCTCGAAATTGTACTCTGTAACTTTCCACACATGGCTGTGTTGACTAGCTTAGCTAGTTAGAGTGTTATTGGGTTTTCTTCTGCTCCTGTGTGTTTGAGGGGGTGTGACATCATCAATGGTTACAAACAGAATAAAAGGGACTATTGTTTTTTAGATCTAAATTCATCTACACGAAGAAGAGGAAGATAAAAAAGTGACTGGAGAGAACCTGTATGAATTTCTTATAGAATGATGAAAGTGTGTGTGTGTGTGTGTGTGTGTGTGTGTGTGTGTGTGTGTGTGTGTGTGTGTGTGTGTGTGTGTGTGTGTGTGTTAGTTAGTTAGTTAGTTACTGGGGCTCAGGTGGATCTTGCCCTAATCATAAAAATGAGGCCATGATGATTCATGGCCTGATTTCAACCAGGAATATCAACAAACTGGGCACAGAAAACAGACAGAACAAAAAAAAAAAAAAAAAAAAAAAAAAAAAAAAAATGAGAGAGAGAGAGAAAGAGAGAGAAAAAAAAAAAAAAAAAATTGTTGAAACAGATAATCAGAAGTGGAGTGGAGGGATTTGAATCTCTTATGAATCCACACACACTGCTCGTGACCTTGGGTAAACACAAGTTGGGGAAAATGGATGTGATGAGAAACAGGGGAACGAGGGATAGAGATAAAGAGAGAAAGAGCGAGGCATGATGGAGGAAGATGAAGTGGAGTGGCCAGAGCCAGAGGGAGGCCATCAGCCTGTGTGTTTCAGGTCTCTGTGGTTAATGGACTCTGTGGGTGAGAGAGAGTGAAAGAGAGGGTGAGAGAGAGAGAGAGAGAGAGGTGAGAGGAATGAGTAGATCCATTACTGTAATGGCATGATGCCCATATTAATTACGCAACTGTAATAAACAAAGTAATTTCAGCTTGTTTCTATCCAGCCTCCTCCTCCTCTCCTAGATATTTGTGTGTGTGTGTGTGTGTGTGTGTGTGTGTGAGTGAGTGAGTGAGAAAGAAAGAGAGAGACTGAGGTATCTCTGTAGGCCTCACTTAATAGAAACACAAAAAAATGGGTCAATAACGAATAGAACACTGCCTAGTTTCAGAAAACATCCTTGTGCTACTCACGTGTGTGTCTTGGAGCTGTTCTTCAATATCCCATTTCTTCATCTGTCACTCTCCCTCACACATCTCTTGTTCCCT